GAAGCTGTCTGGCATAGTCGACGTTGAAGCCGAGTCAGACAGTTGCTTGTTTCTCTTTTGCTCAATGATAAGTCGAGCATCAGAGTAGCCATCCGGCTCAGTATACCGGATGGGCTTCCTCTTTCCATGGTGTGGGAAGCGGAACTTGGACCAATTAATAAAAGGCCTGCCCCCCTCCTTTGTATTTGGATGCGGAGTGGGCTGCCTGTCTTTCACCGACTTAGCCTTCTCAGAGTGGGAGGGCCTCTTTGCTGACTTACCCTTTTTTGGTCCAACTGTTTTCTTGGAGATCAGGTCCTTCATCTCTCCCTTGAAACTTGTCATGAATTTCATGAACTCGTCTCAAGTGATATGAGCAGTCTGTCCTGCCGCCTGGGGCTGGCCGGTTGACTTACTCGGACCCGCCTAATCAACGCCCCGTTCCGTATTATCCTTGGAATGGATGCGTCTGGTTTTAAAGGATCCATCTTTGGTCGTGTATACCTCGACCTCTAGTTCAGAATCTGTATCATGGTCCAAATGGACCTCTGCTTCTGGACGCATGTCCTCAGGAGGCGGTACAGTCTCTTGAGAAATCATCTTAGAGGTACTCTCCCCACAGACGGCGCCAAATGTTTCAGGGTTTTTTATGTGTCATGTGGGAGAGTTACGTCACCAAGACTGAATTCCCTTCGCTTGTACCTGCAAACAAACGGAAGCTCTGGTTGTGCGGAGTTTCGCCTCCAACGATCAAGTTAGTAAGAGTCGAAGAGAGTAAAAAGTGCCGAAAGTAAAAGCAGATCTTCTCAGAACCCGAGATCAGGTGTTTTCTCTATTGTAAGAGAATTGATTGTGAGTAATAAATGAATGTGTCCCCAAATTGGGGTAAATCTCTCTATATATAGGGTCATGGGAATCAGTGCACCCTTTTTTAAGGTCATCAACCTAGGTAAATGGGCTGCGCCATTTTTACAGCGTTATCAGGATTTGGGCATTTGAAAGCCGCTTTTTTCCTTAATGATTGGGGGTGCCACGTGTCAAATGGTGATTGGTCCTTTTTGAACCTCTCTTAGGGTGACACGTGTCCCCTTATGATTGGGCCACGTGGGCTGAGTATTTTTACCAAATCAATTAGTATGACACATATTATTTAAAATATTTTTATTGAATGAAAAAGTTAGATGCATTTAGATAGATGTTTTAGGATTTAAAAAAAAATAAAAAAATAAAATAAAATAAAGAAGTTAATTTAGAGTTCTATTTTCAATAAATTCTTGGATAGTTTTAGGATAAAATAGTTGGTTCAGAATTATTTATTTATTTTTTTTGATAAAATTTCAATATTTATGTATAATATATATTGCGTTCTTAGCTCAAGTGGTAAGAGTTTTCCTCCCGGTTTCGTTGTTACAAAACTTATAACATCCAACTTAGAATAGCCCAAATAAAAAGTTTATCCTAAAATCCAACAAACAACTCGGGCATTAGCCAGGGCATAAAACTAGTGTTAAATAAAAAGTGAATGAAACCCTTTATAATTTTTTTGAAAATTGTTATATTCATCTAGCCCAAGGTTAATTTTTTGCTCTTCATTTTATGTTTAAATGAATGACAATTATCAAAATGAGAACAAAATACTTATGAATGTACCGTACACCCAACTTTATATAACAATCTCTCTAATTTTTTTCTTCAACACATACAAAAAAAAAAAAAAAAATATCTTTTTTAATTTTGTCTTTTGTGCTTTAAATTTAAATTTTTGTTTTTGTCGTTTTTAAATGCAAATTTAGCGGATTCAGTTCATAAAATTTGCGGATTTAAGGACCTATGTAACTTGGGTGAAAGTTAAGGACTTTGACTCAGTCTGGTAGATTACTCATACTACAATTCCACAGTATTACAACTTCTGATGGACACTGTACAACTCCCTTTGTACTGAACTTCAAATCAAAACAACAATTCAACCAAAACCATCAAAAATTAAATCAAAAATGGAGGATAACAAAAAAATTCATCCAAATTTGCCTGCAAATTACGTCACCATTGTCGACCTTCAGAAGCGATGGATGCAGCAGCAGCAGCAACAGCAGCAGCAACAACAGCAGCAGCAGCAGGAGGAAGAGATGAAGAGAGAGAAAGAGGAGTCCAATCACTCCATTTTCAGCAACAATTCAAGAATAATGGCGTCGGAAATCAATGGTGTTAAACTAACCTCTGATGGTGTCAAATCAAGCTCACAATTCCAGAAATTTGATCGTTTCAAATCCGATAGAAACCCTAATTTTGCAATTCGGAAGCCGTTTCATGGGAAGTTTTACGGTGAGAAGCCATTGAAGGCGTTTCGAGTGGTGGAGAAGGTGAGCAATTCAAGAACAATGGCGTCGGAAATCAAGGTTGATGATAACAGAATGGAATTGATTAAGAGAGAGAAAGTATTGTATTGTGAAGATGTGAATAGAGGGTTTCGATTTCAGAAAATTGATCGATTAAAATCTGATGGAAACCCTGATTTCAAATTTGGTAAAAAGGTTTTTTATGGAAGGAATCGATTGAAGGAGGTTCCAGTTGTGGAAAAGATGAGTAATCTAATGCCTGAAACGTCGGGAAACAATGCTGCATTTGCGAAAGTAGGAATTGATGATGGAGTTGCAGATGAGATGAAAACAAATAAGAGGAAGAAGAATAAGAGGAAGAAGAAGATGAAGAATAGGAATGGAAATGGGGATATGGTTGTTGATGTTCGAGCAGTGGAGACAGAAGGTAAGCAATGGAAAGGGGAATTTACTGCTGATGTTCCCGTTGCGAAGGCGAAAGACGAGCTAGGAAAAAGGGAATTGGCTGCTGATGATCTGGTTACGAAGGCGAAAGATGGGCTAGGAAAAGGGAAATTGACTACTGATGATCCGGTTGCGAAGGTGAAAGAAGAGCTAGGAAAAGGGGAATTGACTGCTGATGATCAGGTTGTGGAGGTGAAAGACGAGCTAGGAAAAGGGGAATTGGCTGCTGATGATCAGGTTTTGGAGGCAGAAGACCATTTGAAAGGGGAATTGACTGATGATCAGCCAGTTAAGGCTATAGACAGGCGAGGAAAAGGGAAATTGAGTTTGGATGATCAGGCTGCGGAGGCGAAAGACGAGCAAGGGAAAGGTAAAATGACTGCAGATGATCAGGCAGAGGTGAAAGATAAACTAGAGCATAGACAGGTGACTTTGGATGGTCAGTTGGCGGATGTCGAGGCTAAGTTGAAGGGGGTTTCTGTGAGGGAGAGGGAGTGGAAGAATGGGAGATCAATTGCTGTGAAAGAAGGGTTTAGAAGGGTGGATTGGGGGTACAGAAGAGTTGAGCACAGGGGTTTTGGTGGGAGATTTTGTGAAGTTAGGAAAGAGATAACAACTCAAGGTGAAGGAATGAATGTGAATGTGAATGATCAGTCCTCTGATAGTGCAAAATCGGTGGCTGCAGTTAATGGGGGTGAAAGAGCAGTAAATCAAGGGCAGTATAACAGGGATAACAGTAGAGGAGAATATATGAATGATCAGTTTTCTGGTAGTGAGACGTCTATGGCTGCAGGGAATGGAGATGGAAGAGTAGTAAATCGATGGCGGTATAACAGGGATAACAGTGGAGGAATGAATCTGAATGATCAGTTTTCTGGTAGTGAGATATCGATGGCTGCAGTTAATGGGGGTGGAAGAGTAGTAACTCGATGGCGGTGTAACAGGGTCAACAGTGGAGTGAGTGTGAATGATCAGTCTTCTGATAGTGAGATATCGATGGCTGCAGTTAATGGGAGTGGAAGAGTAGTGAATCGATGGCGGTATAACAGGGCTAATTGTGGAGGAGTGAATGTGAATGATCAGTCTTCTGGTAGTGAGATTTCGATTGCTGCAGTTAATTCAGGCAGAAGAGAAGTAAATCGATGGCGTTATAACAGGGATAACCCTGGAGGAGTGAGTGTGAATGATCATTTTTCTGGTAGTGAGATGCCGATTCCTGCAGTTAATCGATGGGGGTGTAACAGAGGTTACGGAGGGGGTGAGGACTGGAAAATGCGTAGGAAGAGGACAGACGGTGGTGGATATGGTGGTCAGAAGAGGGCAGAAGGTGATGGACATGGTGGTGGGTTAATGTGGGTGAAAAAGTGAAGTTTCAGGGTAAATCAAGGTTGTTAGTTAATGATTGTTAAGTGCTAATTAATAAGGGGATTATATTTTAGGTGAGTTAACAAAATTTTACTTATTAACCTCATCTATAGAATTAAAAAAAAATATATACAGTAATTGCCTAGTAAATTGAGGGTTTGTGAGCTTGGGTGAATATTGCAGATAAGTGAATATGGTAGTCGACAATTGCTCGGAGTTGTTTTAGGTTATCTCGGCATGTCTATGATTATGTTTCCTTGATATCTTGTAAATATGAAAAAATATCAATGGACTTAATTGGTGAAAGTATTCTAAAATGTGCCTGAAATTGCATTGTATGTCTTCATTATGTTTCTCAATTGGTCATTTGGTGCATTAAATTTAGATGTGTATTACTTTTAGGAACTCTGGGTTGTTTAATTTGCTATATATATGTAAAGCTACCAAATACTACAATTATAATTTAAATAATAATGCAGATATTTACAATCATATTGATCTTTTACATACAGTAATTGGAAACATGAAGACAGTTTCTGTAATCAACATTTCCTTTATTGCAAAGTCAAGAATTCAGCAATTCTTATGAGGGAAACGGTAACATTAAAAGGAAATTAAAAATCATCATTAACTAGTATTTCGGGAATTATATCCCAATAAATGCTGATATTTACCTAGCGTTCTAACTATTTCAGCAATTACTACAGCTTTATTGTGATGCTTTATAAATCCAAATCATTGCAATTGTTTTAAACTGAAATTTTAGGCTTCACTGTGTAAAGAGTTTTGTCCAATTTTGTGAAACTGAACACAGTATACAACAAACTATTAGTTATCTGTAAGAAAGGACTGTAACAATAGTGTGTGGAAAAAAATGGCTGGAGGCGGGAATGCAGGTGGTGGAAATAGCAGTGGAAACACCACTAAGGTCGAAGAAGTGAAACCACATCCGGTTATGGAGACCCTATCTGGTGTTCAGTATTGCATTAACACCAATCCTCCGTTTTGTATGTCCTTTTTTTTTTTTTTTTTTTTTTTTTCTCCTTTTCTTCCTCCATATGTTTCTTTGTTGTAAAATTTTATTTCTTGAACATGTATCGATATCCAGTACATCTACCTCGAGTCAAAGTAATATACGACTTCTAAGATTTATGTTATACATTACAATGCAGTGGAATCAACAATATTGGGGTTCCAGCATTCTTTTTTAACACTTGGGATTATTACTGGCGTCTCAACCATCATCGTCCCTCAAATGGGTGGCAACAATGTAAGTAGTGTTATGTATTAACCCTGTCTGCAATTTATCATCTTCAATAACAGAAGATTACCAAAAGCTGAACTCAATGACCTAATCTTGTAATCCTTTTCTTGTGAAGCATGATAAGGCAGAGGTTATCCAAAGCATGATGTTTGTGTCATCAATCAGCACATTGCTTCAGACATTAGTAGGCACTCGTCTTCCTGTTGGCGCTTCTCACACATTCGTCATCCCGATGAAAACAATAGTGCTCTCCATGAGTCTATTGTGTATAGATCAACCCCAACCCCCTGAAAAGGTCTGTTCTTGTTTATCGTAGTATTAGATTAGTAGAATGGTTTTTTTAATTCATTTTTTCATTGGTTTATCTTATTTATGTATTTATTTTTGGCTAGACATTTGCAAATACAATGGCAAGAATGCAAGGTGCTTTGCTTGTTGCATCTGTTATCCAAATTATTCTTGGTTTCTCTGGACTGTGGAGACTCTTTGTAAGGTATGTAATCTGCTGTTAATACTGAATTCATTATTAGTTAAAAACAGTTGTAATGTTTTTATATATTGTGGTAGGTCGCTAAGCCCTCTGTCAATGGTTCCACTTATAACATTCACTGGCCTCGGGCTTTTTTCCTTTGGCTTTCCCAGGGTAATTCTTTGTCCTTCACATTTGATCCATGAATCATTACGTTACAGGAATACATATAAAATCATGTTTATATGGAGAATCATGAGTAAGTTTATTTTTTCAACAGTGCAGTTTTGTGTCTTAATGGATAATTATCTGTTTAGCTGGCAGATTGTGTAGAAATTAGGCTTCCTCATTTGATTTTAGTGCTTATATTATCTCAGGTAATTTCAATACATTCTACTTTCATATAAAACTCTTACTTGATTTGATTCACTTAAAGCGTAAATATCTGTATATGGCATTTACAGTTTAAAACTCTTTTACTAAGCATAAATTATGCCATGTTTTGGGTTTTTTTTGGCCAACAGTATGTTTCCACTTTTCTGAAGACAAACAGGCAGATATTTGATCGATATGCAATCATATTTTCCACAGCAATCATTTGGGTTTATGCCTTAATCCTTACTTTGAGCGGTGTTTATAACAACAAACCACCAGCAACTCAGCTAAGTTGCCGGACAGATCGTGCAGGACTCATACATGAAGCTGATTGGTCAGATTTCAATGCATTAAATTTGTTTGCTTTTGTGAAAGATATATATCATTAAATTTTACACTTGACAAAATTTTCAACCCCAAAAATTGAACTCCTGCATATAGGGTTTATTTACCAAGACCTTTTCAATGGGGGAAGCCAATTGTAAACCTTAGAGAAGCTACGCCAATTATATTTGCTGGACTGGTTGCACTTGTTGAGGTAAGCTCTACAAACTTATCGTACCTACTCTGTCAGAAACTGCAGTGCTGATAGTGACTAGATTAATAGCTTTGTATACCCTAAAAGTTACCCCATTACTTCACTTTTGTTGCAGAGTACTGGCACATTTATAGCAGCAGCACGATATGCAAGTGCGACACCAGTGCCTCCATCTGTAATCAGCCGTGGGACTTTCTGGCTGGTTTGTTACGGAAATTTTGTTCCCCATATATATTATGTATAAAGTATCTGACCTAGTTAAATGAATGCCTCTAATTTTTAATTATACTCTGACAGGGAATCGGAACGTTGCTAAATGGTGTATGTGGTGCTGTCACAGGCCCTACTGCTTCCGTGTAAGATCATTGTGTGTGTGTGTGTGTGTGCGCGCGCGCGTGCGTGTGTTGTTTTCTTTTTCTGTTTTGGGTTAGCAATGGATTCGAAAAAATCTAGCCTTCGTGTTTTTTTGTGAGACAGAGAAAGTGCTGGTCTGCTTGGATTGACTAGAGTTGGAAGTAGGAGAGTAATCCAAATCTCTACTGGATTTATGCTTATTTTCTCAATATTTGGTAAGCTAATCAAAAGCTTCTAAAGATCAATTCGTAAACTTAATTGAAGTAAACTAAGCAACCTCACTCTGAGATGTTAAAATGAAAAAAGTGTACTCCAGTTTCTTATATAGGCCTTATATATGTGTATGCAGGGAAACTCGCAGCCTTTTTTGCTTCTGTGCCGTATCCCATCATGGCGGCTACCTATTGCATTCTTTATGCCTATGTCTGTAAGTACTTCTAATCTTTTAACTTATTAAGAATTCCCCGATACACTTATTTTTTTGAACCAATGTTGATATTTAAACTAGAGACTACTGTATTGAATACACATATTTGCAGCTTCTGCAGGTCTGAATCACCTCCAGTTTTGTAACTTAAACAGTTTTAGAACATTATTCATATTAGGCTTTGCATTCTTCATGGCAATTTCCGTCCCACAACACTTCAGAGATTATCTTCCGACATCTAATTCAAGCCCTATTTGTTTCGGGGTTTTCTGATGTCCTGCGGGAGAGTTACAATTCCGAGACTGGAACCGGACGCCTGTACCTGCAAAATAACGGAGACTCCTGAGAGCTCCGCCTCCAACGGTCAAGTTAGTACCTGATTAAGGAGTAATTAATACGGAAATTAAAGTAATAAGACCTCTCTAGGTGAGAGTGTTTAATGTTGGTAATCTGCTTTGTTAGCGAGATTAGCCGGTTATTAGTGTTCCGTAATGTTTCTGTTCTTCTCTATTCTTCAGGTGAGATTAATTGCTTGATCAATTGCCTCTCAATTGCTTGCTCCCTTTTAATGAGGATTAATTAAGTATTTATAGTCTTGAGAAGCGTGCCACTCTCTAGGTTTAGGGTAAACCTAGGGCTGACCGGGCCTCTAGACAGGATTGGGCCTTGTTGGCCGGTTTTCCCATTTGGCATGGGTGGACACGTGGCGTGCCTCGATTGGTCCGTAGAGGACGTATCTGTGATTGACACGTGGCAGGCTCCTATTGGCCTTCGTGAAGGACACGTAGCGGAACCTGGTTGGTCCACTTGTCAGACGGTGATTGGTGGATAAAAATCCCCTAATCATTTGCCCCTCACAGGTGGCACGTGACTGGTCACGTGTCGCCTGTGACAGGTGTCGCACGGTGACAGGCGACGGCCTGCTACAGGTGTCACCTTGCAAACGGCCGAGAGATTTTCCCGCCCAAATTTTGAATTTGGAAGCGACCCTTCGCCTTCTCACTTTGCCTATATAAGGAAGTGCTGACTTCGGTCATTTTCACATTTGAGAACTTTGCGAGAACATTCGGACCCCTGAACTTGCTCTAACATTTCGGACCTTTTCTGCCTACCGCCTGTTCTGACAAGCCGACTGCACCGGATTTCCAGAACTTCATCAACCGTCACTCGTTCAGGTAACTCAGTTCTCTTACTCTTAATTTTCTTTTTATTTTTTGAAATGGCACCACGGAAGCACACGACATGACCTAAGTTAGTGATCAGCCGGTCACCGGGGACGGCTGAATCTAGGACTAGGAGTGCCGCCTGCCCTTTTCTGGACCCATCTTTGCCCTTTATACAAAGTCCGACTGTATCTGTGTCTATGCAGAACGTGATGGCCAAAACAAAAAAGACTGCTATGATATCAAACTCAGACGGCTCCTCCCAAAGGGTGCTCATTAGTGAAACATCTGACCAGGCGCCAGATGTAGAATTGAAACGAGGCGGCTGACAAGCCGACAGTTCTGAGAGAGGGGCCAAGGTGGTCCCTTCCCATCTTACCGTTGATATGTCTAATTTTCCTCCTGCTCCTTCTAAGGGAGAGGAGGCGGGCCCCTCTGGGAGAGGGGAGGAGTCGTCCTCTTCGGACTCGTCAGAGGACGAGTCCGAGTCCAGCTCTTCTGGCCACAGTTCTCCAGGCTCAGAAGAAAGACATAGCCGCCTACAAGAGGCGAGACTTTCTCATGCAGTTGAGAAGGGGGACAATTGGGCGGAGCCGTCCGCCTCTTACAGAGAGGAAAACGCCCCCTACTACTGCATGGTACCCCGGAGCCGGATCGCAACCATGCAAGACAAAGTGGAGAGCTTTATTGCTAACCACAGAATGGGCCCGGAATTTTTACTGTTCGTGCCGGATCCAGAAGACACTGTCGTCTGGCCGGCTGGTACCAGCTATGCTTTGGCTGCTTTGGCTGCTATGTGGCGGCCATCAAAGCTGGACTGCGCTTCCCATTACATCCGGCTGTTCAGCGGATTTTAGATGGGTATGATTTGGGGTTATGGCAGTTAGCCCCCAACTCTTGGGTAAACGTACTCGGCTATGTGGCCGGGTGCGAAATGTACGGGGTGGAGCCAAGCTTTGAGGCTTTCGCCCACATGAACTATCTCAGCCGGACCCCTAAGTCGGGAGGTACCGGCTGATATCAATTAATAAGCCATAGGGGTTACCTCATGACGAGAGGTAAGGCGAACAAATGGAAGGATTGGCGGAACACCTTCCTTATCATTGAGGGTTCAGACACGGAGCTGAACCAACGTTTTAACAAGTGGAATAGGGATCCGCCTCTTCTCGCAGGCGGCCGCAGCATGCCGCCTGTTCCCCCAAAGGCTAAAAGAGAGATCCTAGACAAAGGACTCTTCAAAGTAGAGACTAGGGTGAACTCTACTTCAGGGGTACGAGAGCAAGTACCCCTAAACTGCGTCCCGAGCTTCAAGTGGCTCTATGACGAGTACTTTTTGGCCGCCTGTGGCCTCAGCAGTCGGTGCTCTAGAGGTAGCCGGCCTGACAAATACTCTGTTTTTTTTTTCACGCCTTGTTTACTTGGGATCTTTACTAACTTTGCTGTTTATTTTTTGCAGCTGACGCCATGAGTAAAATAACAGCATCCAAGACTGCGGCGGCCATGTTGCGGGCCTCTCTCATGCCTCAGTCTTGTGCCGACTCCCCCAACAAGGGGGCACCCTTGGTAGGCTTCGAAAACTCTTCCTCTTTTAGGAGTTGTCTTATGCATATACTAACTCTTTTTGTTTTCAGTCTGGCACTCCAAGAGCTTCTTCCTCGCAACAGCCGGACCCCAAGGCCCGGAGGACGACTGTTGCAAACTCTCCTGGGTCTTCCAGGAAAACAGTGGCGGCTGAGAAGCAGCCGGCCACTTCTTCTAAAACCCCGGCGGGGCCGCCTAGAAGTATGGACAATCACTTGTAAAAACTTTCACACTTGCTTCTTTCTTGACTAGGTCTAACTTGCTTTTTTTACGCTTGATGCAGCCGGCCCTCAGGGGCTTGACTTGGTTGAGGTAGCCAAGTCCATGATCAAAGTAGTTCCTCCATCTGAAAGGGAGGCGGTCAGGGGTGCCGGCACCCTTGACCTTGATGGGATTGCAGGGGTCCTTGCTGAGGTATACTTAGCATATTTTTGAGTATTTGAGTTCCAGGACGCCTGTTATCTTTTTTGTTTGGAAACTGACGCCTGTTTTTTTTTGTACTTAGGCCCTGCTCCGAGTTAACAGCCTTCGCAAGCCGATTGATCGGAAAAACAAAGAGGTAAAGGCCGCAAAAGCTATGGCCGCCTCCAACTGTGATAAGGCAATGTTTCAAATTGCCCAAAATGAAGTACTGACCATTGATATTCTTTATTATCAGGCGCAGGCTACCGCCGCTGTTCGGGCTCAGTTAGAGGCGGCCCAGAAGAAGAATGACGAGCTGGAGGCGACCGTCACAAATCTTAAGGCCGAGCTGAAACCTCTTCGCCAAAAAATGCACTCTTACGAAGCCATGGAGAAATCTTTGGCCAACGTAAAAGAACGCCTGGTGAGCCAAGAGAAGAGTCTTACCCAAGAGCTCTCGGAAAAGGCTGAGCAAGAAAAAAAGAGCTCGTCCGGGAGATGGTGGAAGACTCCGCTCAAATCCAGCGCATGACCTGGGGCCGCCTGTTCCCCAATGCCGACTTTGCCTCATGGGAAAGAACGTACCGCCAGTGTTCGGAAACATATAATCAAGAGATCCTGGCGGCTGCTGAAGAAGAGGCGTTGGGAGATACGTTGGAGGAGGAGGAAGAGCCGGTTGTGGCGCTTGTGCCACTTGGGGGTAAGGCATCAAAAGAGGGTGCAGCTGAAGCCGAGTCTAGCAAGAAGAGTGCTGACCAGGCGGCAGCTGCTAATACTGAACTGCCCCTTCTTAAGCTTAAAGTATTTTTTTTTTCCACGGCCTGCGTGCCGTTTGCTTTGTATTTACCCGGCCGGGGGCCGGGGCTTTGAATATTCTGCTGGTCTTTAATGACCGGCTTATTTTTAATCAAATTTTTGTTTTGATTCAAATTTGTCTAAGTATTCCATATCTAATATCCCATTGTTCACTAGACCGACTGTTGTACATGGCCGAACGTTGCAGACAGGTACAAATAGTAAGTACGCCACCTATGCCCCTGGACGACTGGTTGTCTGTTTCCAGGATAGACGATCAGTCGGCCATTTATTCAATCGGTATTCGAACTATTTATTCAATCGGTTTGACCAAGTAAATAGTATTACCTAGTCGCCAAGGAATTAAGTAGGATAACAAGCGGCGGGTACCGGTTGTTTCCCTTTATTGCCAATGTTGGCTTTTAACTCGTAATTTATTAACCTAGCAAGAGTAGTGGTTGAGAGCCCCTGTTTATTAAAAACAGGCGGACGACTCATACCTTTTAGGCTCCATACTAAGTTTGAGTGACTATTAAGTTAACATAGGAGTTACTTAGTCTTCGTCACAATCTAGATTGAGTAGTAGAGGTACCAGGCGGCGTAGGCCGGCTAGACCCCTTGATTCGCCAATGTTTGTTGGCTATTAACTCAATAGGTACCCCCTGCATTTATCCCAAGTAATACAGGCGGTCATCTGACTCAGATGTCAACTGCTACCACTGGTTTGGTTAGTGATAGAGTTATCCTTGTCTCAAAAACGGCTACGTGGTTGCCCTTGGGGACAGTCGTATAGGTGCCGTGTAATTAGTTTATAGAACAATGTTCCACCCAAAAGGGAGCTGCTCTCTGCGACGAATTTCATCCGGAGGGATGCCGTCGGACGCCTGCTATGATGTTGGGACAGGTCGTATTAGTTTTGTAGATTTGATCAGTTGGCTTGGCGCCTGGTCTGATTATTCGGCCGGTGGCCTTGGTAAGTTCTTGGTGAACGTAGGTGCTAAGTAAAAGAAGGGTAGCCGCCTGTTAGACACAGGGTCGGCCAGGCCCTAATCTTTTTAGCTAAGTATTGTGAGTAAAATACTCAATGGAGAGTAGCCGACTGTAAAGGTACAGACGGCATGCCCCTCTGAAGATAGAGTGAAAAACTCAATGGAGAGTAGCCGACTGTAAAGGTACAGGCGGCATGCCCCTCGTAATACAAAATTGAATAGTAAGTGCAAACTTTATTAAGTAGCTCTTTACTTTACATCATTCAGAAGAAATATTTTTTAAGGTTATGTACATTCCAAGTTCGAGGCAACGGTTGTCCGTCTGGTGTTTCCAGACGGTAGGTACCGTCCCTGACTTCCTCATAGATTCGGTAGGGTCCTTCCCA